CCACAAGGATAAGCCAGGAATGGAGCAGGTAGTGGGCAAGACAGTCTGGCCCCAATAGGAATGTTTAGGCCCAAAGAATGTGACTTCTCCCCTAAATATTAATCTTGTGTGTCCCAGAGCAGTGCTTCTCAAGCTACCAGATGTTTGAAATGCCAGGGGACATTTGGCAAAGTCTAGAGACATTTTTGGTTGTCCCAATTGAGGGTGGGTAGGTATTACTGGAATCTAATGGGTAAAGGCCAAGTGATATGGCTAAACACACTACAATTCATAAGACAGCCCCCAAAACCAGGAACAATCCAGGCCAAAGTGTCAATAATGCCAAAGTTGAGACACTTCGCCCAGGGGTCAGTGGTGAGCACAGTGTTTTTTTTTTTTTTTTTTTTTTAATAATTTAAGTTATCAAATTCTTTTGGAATAATCCTAACTTTTGAGAAAATTAAAAACCCATTTAATATACCCAAAACCTTGTCTAAAAGTGATCAGTAATCACACAGTCCATACTTCCCCAGAGACACAATAGATGATGAATTATCTTGAAGAACTGGCAAGAAGCAGCTGTGTGGGGAAAAAAATGACTAGAGGTCTGGATTAGGAGTTAGAAGGGAAAAGGAGATAAACTTTCTACGTACTAGGTCCTTCACACAATTCTCTCTCTTAATTAGGATGACCACATAACTGTTTGCCCAAACTGGGGCCATGTTGAGAGTAAAGAGAACACTCTTAATGATTAAGCTAGTGCAAGGGGCATACACCAGTATTCTCCTAGACAAAGGGTGTATGGGTCTTGTTCCTTAATACAGCCTTCTTATTGTCATCACCTTTATGATGAAGAAATCGAGGTTCAGGTTACCCAGCTGGTAAGTAACAGAGCTGGATTTAACCAAGCTCTTAGAATCCATAGCTCATGCTCTGTCCACAAACTTAAGTGTGGTCCTAGCTCTGGACTTACTGTGTAACTTGGGCAAATCATATGAGCTCTGTGTGGATGGAGAGGGAACGCCAGCTTTGCTGTCTCAACAGTATCTGGTGTGTGGCTGTTGTGTGCTGTTGACTCAATTCCCACTCATAGCAACCCCATACCACAGAGTAGAATTGCCTCCATAGAATTTTCATGGCTGTAATCTTTACAGATAAGGATCGCCAATTCTTTATCCTGGGAGCTCTGAGTGGGTTCAAACTGCCAACCTCTCGGTTAGCAACTGAGAGCTTAACTGTTTGTGCCACCAGGGTTTCTTAG